CCCTATCCTGATGTTCACACCTTGTGTAATCCCCTCCCAGGAGGTGGGCAGGTCCTATGACTTACCTCTAACTCACAGACTATGGCAAAGGGGCTGTGGTGTCACTCCCATGATTAGGTTACACAGCAATGTGCCTTCCATCTTGCTAGCAGATTCTCTCTATTGCCTTTGTGGTTTACATGCTTCAATGAAGCAAACTGCCATGTTGTGAGCTGTCCCATTGGAGGGGCCCACATGGCGAGGGACAGATGATGACCTCCAGCCAGCAGCCAACAAGGAACAGAGGCCCTCAATCCAACAGGAGCTATGTCCTGCCAGCAACTTTATCAGCTTGGAAGTGGTCCTTACCCAGCCAAGCCTTCTGATGAGACCCCAGCCCTGGCCTGCACCTTGACTTCGGCCTCGTGAAAGATCCTGAAGCAGAGGACCCAATTAAGCTGTGCCTAGACTCCTGACCCACAGAAACTGAGATGATAAGTATACTTTTGTGCTGATTGTTTATGCATCCTCCAATTGCATGTGGAGTTCCCTCTGACTCAGGGAGTCTAGAGGACCTGCTACCCATAGTACACCAACCCAGGGTCCTGGGCAGATCTGAGAGAACAGGCTGGAGGGTGATTTTGGAACATAGAAGAGGGATGGGTCAATGTATGCAACCCTCCCCTCATTGTACAGAAGGTGCAAAAAGCCAAAAGGAAAGTGACTACATGTAGATGTCCCGTTGATCTCTTGGACCTGGGTCAGCATTGAGGTCCTTATGCTGGGTGCTGGGAAGGGATCAGTGCATAAGCCAGGTCTGCCCTTATAGAGCTTCCAGGTGTGGTAACATCACTTCCTTTGGAATTTGTAGGGTGCCATTGACTGCTTGGCTCATGGTATTCAGAATGTGCCTGCAAGACCCCATTTACTGCCCAATGACTGCCAAGGTCAGAGCAATGATTATCATCCCATTTTACTTGTAAGCAAATGCTCAGAGGGGTTAAGGGCTTACTCAAGATCATTCTGCTGGATGAAAGAGCCCCTAAGCACACCCACTGCTATCTGCACATTCAGACATGAGTGCTGATGTCATGTGAGTGCTGCAATGGACTCTGCTCTGGGCAGGGGATAGTGCTGTATCAGAGTGGGCTTCATAGGGGAGGCAGCATTTGAGCTGGAGCTCAAGGAGTACACTAAGGAGGGGCCGGATGCTATTTGTCCCAGGCAGAGAGGCAGAATATGAAAACACCAAACAGCATGGTGTGAGTGGGGGTGGAGGGTACTTGGAGCAGAGGTGTGCGTGAGTCTGGCCAGCAGGTTGGGATTGTATCACATAGGGCCACTTCTAGAACTGGAATGTTATCTATAGGCAGATGCCAGACTATAGGCCACTGGAGGGTGCTGGGCGGGGAATGACATAGTAGGCCTTAAATGTCAGAAGAGTCTTGTTGGTGGGGTGGTTTGGAGGGGAGGGGAAATTCAAAAGGCAAGGGGTGGGGCTGGAAGACAGCTTGTGGCAATGGGAAGGGCTTGGCCAAGGGTAGAGAAATGGGGTCTAACATAAGGCAGTTTTGGTGGCAGGGGGAAGGTGGAGGGGGCACTTGAATTGTCCTGACTCCTCAACAAAGCCTGGGAAGTGTCTGTGTCCAGAAGGAATGCTGAGTGGTATCCTCTCTCTTTCTGACCCCAGCTTCTGTCAGTATTTATTTGGGAAGTGAATGATTGACAGATGAATGTCCACCCATCTGACCTGGCAGTGTTCTCAGGACGCCACACCCTAAGGAACTTGGGGGAAGGGTGGTCAGAGATGAGATGTGGGGAGTCATCCTGGACTGCCCAGCTCCTGGGGCTGTGGCATAGATTTTGGAAGGCAGAGAGATGGAGTGATCCTGGAACTCGAGGCCCAGCCTGACTCTGGGCTTGGTTGGTTTCTGGAGTCGTTTCCAGTGTCCTGGCCTCTGCCAGGACAGGACTGAAGATTGTAGGGGGTCTCCTAAGCTTTGTGGGATGTCTGTGCCGATAGTGAGTCGGTGGCCTTGCTTAGCCCTGGTGGCGCCTATGGACAGAGAGGGCAGACAGACAGAGAACTGCTGTACAAGGTCTTTTTCTTTGTTTTCATGGTTGGTTTCGTACATCTTAGCATTTGCGTCATACAAAGGGGGGAGCAACAGCCATGGCTTTTGGTCAGGTTCAGGGGGATAATGGGGGGGTACCCCTCCCCTCCCCCCAGGCACTGACACATTTAAAGGAAGCAGAGCAACAAAGACACAGCACGAGAAAGTGGGAAAGGGGTCCCCTACAGAGCAGGATGGTCAGTCTCACCTGGGTCTCACCAGGACTCCTAACTTCTGCCCCAGGACCAGCATAAGCACCTCCGTTCTCTGTTCTCTCCCGAGTGAAGGGGTGGGACAACCAGAATGGGGACTGGGATAAGGACATCTAGTGAAAGGCATGTCCTCAGGCTAGGAGACATATCCTATCTGAGCCAGTCGCCCCCAGCCTGTCTGCTCCCAAGAGCCTGTGGAACCCTAGGATGGAGCAAGTAGGCAGTGAGGGTGCGCAGCCCTGCAAGCTGGGTGCAGGGGCTCTAAGGGCTGGAGAGTCCACTCCGGCCATGAACCTCTGGGGTGACTGCTTCGCCCATCAGCTACCCTATCGGAGAGGTGTGCTGGCAGCAATGTTTCTCTCTTCCCTCTCTTCTCCGTCTGTTCTCTGTCTCTTTCTCACACACACACATCTGGGAGAGCCTCTTGACTGATTCCATTTGGAAGAACACCCACACATCTCTGCAATAATAATAGTTTCTGGACCAGAAGTGGAGGACATGCCCAGGACAGAGAGATCCAGGAAAGCATTTTTCCTTGTCTCCGGAAGTGAATTCGGAGTGGCCTTCCCTGCCCACCTGGGTGCTGCACACTGCCTGGCACTCTGTGCTTTTTCTCACTCATATACAAGTAACTATTCCTCCCTATTGACCTAGCTAGGGGATCTTTCCCTTGCGTGTCATGTGTGGCTTCTCTCCACCAAGTGTCCATGCACACTGCCCTATTGTATGTGACATATTCATCCCATGCCATCCTGGAGGTTACACATACCTTCTGCTATGTGCTAGAGCAGGTGTCCTCAAACTACAGCCCGCAGGCCACATGCAGCCCGCCTAGAACATTTATCCGGCCCACCGGTGTTTTTGCCACCGCTGCCTGTCCTGCTTAGCAGCCAACTTGTCCTGGGGCCCGCAGTCCGGCCTTCCAACGGTCTGAGGGACAGTGAACTGGCTCCCTGTTTAAAAAGTTTGAGAACTCCTGTGCTACAGCATCCCACACAGACTTTGTGTCCCCACTAGTGTGCTGTACACAGACATCCTCTCTGGGCCACACATCAGCTGCTCCCACAGTCAGGTCTGTGACAGAAATGACAAGCCGTTACACATCCCAGGACCTAAAAGTCATCACTCGGCAGTGGTTGCAGCCAGGTACTTGCTGGGCAGAACCCTCTGCCTCCATCTCCAGGAAGACCTCAAACCCTGCTGTCCAGAAGCAGAATGGAAGAGTTCAGGTGTGTACCCAGAATAAATGGCCAGCCTGGAAGGCCCTGGGGTGGGGCTGAAAAGTTCTGAACCTACTCTGGGGGTCCAGAGGGCCTGAAGAGATCAGCAGGGATGCCCTCTGAAAGTCTGGTGTCTCCAAGGCCCATCTGGGATAGCTGGGTTCTCTTGCTCATATGAAACTCCCTGGGCCTTGGTCCTGGCTACCTACTGGACTCTCTGTGCCCTGGCATCACCTTTGAGGTTTGAGGGCCCCTGTTAAAGGTGAGACCTCTGTGAAAACTTGGCATCTACTCCTGTGTCCAAACAAGGGTCACACACAGGATCTGAGGAGGCCTAGGGCCCCTGGACTGGGCCCTGTCTGTCTCTGGCTCAGAGACCCCACACTCTTCAGAATGACCATCCTGCCCAGGATGATGGACACAAACGGACAAGCAGACAAGAGGGGTGCGAGATGGCTCCCCATCACAGACACAGGCACAGAACAGACACAGGTCCCTAGGGGCCAACAGAGGGCACAAGGGGAAGGGAAGGGCGGGGGAGGAAGGTAATTCCAGGGAGCTGGAGCTGCAGAGGCCCTGCTCCCCATAGAAGGGACAGACCAGGGGACTTTTCTGGTTCCCTAAACATATGGATTGTTTTGTTTCATCTTTAAAGTATTGCAGTCTAACTGATATGGCTTTAACTATTGGAAATGGACAGAGAAGACACATGTCTCTCTCTGAAATAAAAGCATAAATCCACTAAAATGGAAAACCCACAGAATGCAAAAGGGGCCGATGGAGCAGAGGCTTCAGGGGCAGGCAAGTCGCCCCCTCCCTGGCTACTGCTTTTGGGATAGGCCCTGGTGGGGGCCAGCATGGCTTCCTGGGGCACTGCCTGGGTGTGTTCCAGTGAGATTCTGAGGACCGCAGGCAGGAACCCCCTAAGGGTAGGAGGTTAGGCCAAGGACAAGGTCTCTTATCGGATGTGGCCACCTGTGACCAATGGTCTCAAGGAGGGCAGGGAGATCTTATCTATGAGAAAATCTTCCTAAGCACATGTCCACGCACACAACTGCCATTTCAGACCCATACACATACACACAACAACCTTAGCACATCTCACAAGTCTCTCAAACACATTTCTACAACACCTAACATACACCTACCACTTCTGAAACACATGCGTTTTGAAAACGCATGCATATACAAGCTATGACATGCAATTTCTAAACACAGATGAGATGGCTAACACACGCATATGACACAATCTCAATTGAAATACACCATCTTAAACAAGCACAAGTCATAGCTATGATGACTAATATACACACACAATCTCAAGACCATATACACACTCTAACCATCCACACATACACGTAGTCTCTGGACACACATTTGCTGATGGCAGTCTCCGCCATGCGCTATCACACATGCATGGACACGTACTTTCCTTCATCACTTGCTCCCCCTTCCCAACACCATTATCAAACTGACAGAGTAGGAAGCCTTGGTAACTTGGGGGAAGGGGGATAAATGTCAGTCCCACACATCCCAGACGAGAGTTTGTTCTTGGCCAATGAGATGAATGGATGGATGCCTTCTGTCAAATGGAAATTGGCTTCTCCCCAATGGCTTGGGGCTTTGGCCAGGAAGGATCCTCCTGGGGACCATGGGGGCCCTGGAAGCACATGGACAGGACAGGGTGGGGAAGAGGGTTGGATAGAAATGGGGGCAGCCTGGCCACACCAATGGGGGAATCCCATAGCATAGACCATTGCTGCCCGATGGCTCCAAGTGTTTTGGGGAGGCCTGGGAAGCCCCTTGGCTGGGAAACCTGATCCAGCCTGGCAGTGGGGCTCCAGGACCTAAGTAGGGTGTGAGAGAACAAGGTGTTGCCTTACCCTGGGGCTCCTCCACAAATGAGCTAAAGTCCAAATAGGATCCATTTGGAGGGACCAGCTTGGCAAGGGCCATGCCTCTCTAGTTAAGGGTTGGGGAAGGGGGTGCTCCTGGGCTGGGTGTCACCAAGGAGAGGGAAGAAGAAGAATCCCAGCCTCCTGCCCAGACCCCAGCCTAGCCAGATCCTGGACCGCTCAGGCTGGGCCTTCATCGGGCAGGCTTACCCTGACTTCCTTTCTAAGAGCCAGGCTACTCAGTGCCCCTGCCTTGACCTGGAGGTCAGAGGCCAAAGGTCATCATACTGGGCAGGGCTGGAATGTGTCATTACTTTGGCTGGCTGGGGACAGTGGTCCTCCTGGCAGTGGGGAGCATGGAGGAATGTATGGGGGTTACCACGCTAACATAGACTTTAGTCTTCCTGTGGGGCCTCCAGTGCCTATAGCCCTGGGTTCAATGCCCCCTGGAAAGGGAAAGCCGCCTTCCCCTTTTCAAGCTACTTGGGAGTAGGGTGGGTCTGGGTGCCCTGGGATGAAGGGGTGTGTGAGGGAGCGCTAAGTAGGAGAAGTCCCTGGCCAGGGAAGGGGGGCAGAGGCCAACTGAGGTTTTCCCCTTCAGAATTGAGACTTAACTTAATAAAAAGAAAAAAGAAAAAAAGAAAATAGTAATAGGTGGAGTAGGGATGGGGCAGGAGGGCCGGTTACTTCTTGAACATGTCCTGCAGTGGCCCGGGCAGGTATTTGAGCACCGTGTCCAGGATGCTCTCCTCTTCCTCCTCCTCCTCATCACCACAGCCAGCAGGGATGGCCTTCTTGGGCCGAGTCAGGCTCCCCTCACAGGGCTGCTCCAGGGCTGCCTTCTCTTCAGCCTCCTTCTCCTCCTTCTTCTTCAGCCCGTACTGGGGAGGTGAGGGCAGACATGAGTAAAGGCAGGGCCAGGGGAGGGCCTGGTCTCAAGGTCATGCAGGCTGGCAGGGGTGGCTCATGAGAACTTTTGAGCCTCCATTCCCCCACCTCATAGGGGCCTTCCCTTCAAGGGGGCCTAGTAACTTCTTTTGAAATCCACAAAGGTCTCAATTGTTCCCAGATATTTAGAGCTAAATTTTGTTGACAAAACTTCACTTGAACTATGTAAGGGCTTGATTTATTACAGGCTCTAAGTAGAAAGAACTCTACTTTTAGTAGGCTAGTTTCAGTACATAAGACTGCTTTATAAGTGGTAAGACTACTTGTCTTGATTTACTACACAGAGCTAGCAGACTTACATTGAGCTGTTTAGCATAGGTGGCAGCCCAAACCCTTAGGAGTGAGTTTTCCCAGCGCCAGGTACTCAGGGCATGGTGGTATTTTTCTAACATTCCCAGATTCCAATCTTATTCTACCCCAGGTGTCTCAGGCGCGAGACTATGGACCTCTAGCAGCAAACAGGAGGGCGTACTTGCTGTGTGCATTCATCTTATTTAGTCCCCATAAAGATTCTGCAAGGAAGGTGTTCTGTGACACCCATTTGTCTGAGGGGAAGGAGGGGCCTCAGAGAGAGTCAGGGCTAAAGTGAGAGTCGAGGTCAGGGCTTTGGGTGGACGGGTTCTGAGCCCTCGTGGGCCTCCCATCCATGGCTGCGCTGACCTTGTCTCGGATCTGCTGCCGGACCTTCTCCCTCTCCGCCTCCATGCGCGCGTGCTTGGCTTTGCGCTCCTCTTCCTGCTGCCGCAGCGCCTCCTGCCGCTCTTCCTCCTTCTTCTGCGCGTCTGGGTCCTTCTCCTCCTCTCCCCCCAGCATCTTCCCCATGTCCTTGGTGGCCCCTATGGGGATGGGGTGAGGATGGAGACGGTAGGGGGAGGGGGGAAGGGGGTGGTGGCAGGGCAGGGAGTGAGGAGCCACGCGGCCCCATCTCACCTGACTGGGACCAGTGGGCGGGTGGCAGTGGGGGACAAGGGCCTCACCTCCCAGGGCCTGCTTCATGACGAAGTCCATGGCACCGGCTCCGGTTAACGTGCACTAGCTCACGGCCAAATGTGCATGCAGCGCTTCAGGCTGGCCTGGCTTGGCTCTCGGAGATGTCCGGACCTGCAAGAGAGGAGTTGGGGCTCAGACCCGAGAGGCCTTGGCACAGGTGGGGCAGTGACGTTAATAGAACAAATCAGCAGCCTCGCCTCATCTGGTTCAGACTTCGTTAGAGGCCAAGACTCGGTGCCTTGGTAGCCAGGGCAGAGGAGATGGAAAAGAAGTCTTTACCAGTACTAGGCAACACATGAGCGGCCAAACAGCTTCTTTTTAAAGTTGTTTGATGCCTATTAAAAACCTTCATCTTGAAGGCTGAAATTCGATTGGGCCAGAAGTACTGGGAAGAGCCTGGAACTTAGAGTTAGGCAGAACTAGGTCTAATGCCACCCTCAGTCTGATTTGTCATGTGACCTTCAGCAAGGTACTGAACCTCCTTAAGCCCCAAGTTTCCTCTTCTATAACAGAAAAATGGCAATGCCATCTTTCCCAGGGCTAGAGACTAGAGGGAATCCCGCCTGGGCCACCGGATCAACTCATGAACCCCCACCTCCCTGGGCATGCGATCACCGTCACAAAGCAGAGGTGCATGCAGAAATGAGAACAGCCAGCTTGGATAAACATATCCAGACTTCTGTGAATTGACAAATGGAGAAATAAGTTATTTTTAGTGCAGCATACATATAAGTTTTGTGTTTCTAGATTGATATTGATTTTTATTTTGAATTATAGATGGGCACTTGGGAGACATTATAAGCTTTGGGAAGCACAGGGCCTTTAAACTACTTCGTATGGGCCTTGTGGGCACTCAGATAATGTTAGTATCCTTTGCTTCTCCTTAAATACCAACTTTCAGTTTTTATTAGACTTGTACTGTTATTTTTTGCCTTAGAAGATTTTCTCCAAATAAAATCATAATGGGAATCTCAATATGTGAAAGTGGAGCTATTGGAATGGTAGCTGTGGGGTCTAGAGCCCTTACCCTTGGCTTCTTTCTCTTCATGTTCCCCCCACACCCCTGAGCATCTGAGCCCCACTGCTCTAATTCTTGGAGAGTTTCTTTTATTTTAATCATTCAGTTCCACTGGTTCTTTGGCAGACAAAAAGCTGATACTAATCTTCTAGATGGAGGTAGGGACATCCATGAGCTATCCACAGTGTGAAGTAGCATGATGGTCAGATAGGGCCAGGCCTATTCCCCAAGGCCTTTTGTCCCACACATAAAGACTTGGTGTCTTTCTGATTTCCTAGGAATAAAAAAGGGTTTGGGGATATGGTGGCAGAGAAACCAGGGCGGATATTGCAACCAGGTTGAGTTCAATGTCACTGGCTCTTTTCTCATTTCTCAAAATGAGAAATCCTATCAACAGACTGAAATTATGTCATAATATTGGGCCCAAGAGCTTATCCATGTGATTAGACTGCCTGATAGGTTGTCTTGGGGAGAGACAGAAAGTTATGAAAGTCATGCTGTAGTAGGAAAAGAAATCCCCAGGGCTTTTGGTACCAGACACACCTGGTTCAAAATCCTGGCTCCCATCCTAACCGGCTGTGAGTCCCTGGGGAAGCTTTAGTTTGTTCCTTGCAAAATGAGTGAGTATTAAGTCTACCCTTGTACCGATGTTTGAAGGAGAAGAGATGATACTGGTCAAATGCCTGGTGTGTAGCAGGAGCTCATAAAATGTTAGCTGTTGCTGACAAGGCATCTGCGGAGAAGAGCCCAGAAGGGATGGGCTTTCCAGGAAATGCAAGAGAACCCACCCACCTGACCCAGAATTTTGAGCTTAAAGGTTGCTTAGTCAAGATGTTTTCATATGATTTAAGACACTGTGAAAAGACTTCTTTTCTAAGAATAAGAAATGATTTAATAATCAAATGATTTCAGGAATTCTTAGGTTCCCACTTTGTGTTTATACGGAGCTCAAGGAATTACCAGGTGGTTGTGGAGGATGCAGGACTCTAATTTGAGATGTTTCAGATTGGCTGGCAAGCCACCTGGGCTCCAGATCCTAACTTGCTGGGTGACTCTGGCAAGTGACCAGACGATCTTCCAGACCCTTTCTCCACATGCTTCTGTCGGATTAGTTCAGCAATATTTGAACTGCTGACCACACCCCACTGTACCTTCAAAGCCCCCTCTTCTCTAGATTCTGTGACGTGGCTCTTTCCTCCCCACACCCCTCCACTCCCCTCCCCTCTTCTTTACTGGCTTCTTTTCTTTCTCCTGTCTCTTAAGTAAGCTTTTCCCCCAGGAGCCTGCCTTTTTCCTCTCTAACCTTTCCCTTGGGGAACTCATCCATTCTAGGAACTTTAATGGTCACTGACACTGATGACACCTAGATCTTATCTAGGCTCGACACCCTTATATTCATTCATGCCACAAGTATGAGCTGAGCACCTACCACATTCCAGTTGATGTGTTATGCAGTGGGGATAGACAGACAAAGCCTTGCCCTCATGCAGATTACATCTGAAGTGTGTGTATGTGTGTGTGCACGCGCATGCACGTGGGTGTAGGGCAATAGGCAATAAATAAGACAAACGATACGTTTTCCTGGACACCTCCCTCAGGTGCCCCATGGGTACCACTCAGACTCAACATGCCATTTCTCTATTATCAAACTACTTCCTCCTTTTAATCCATCAACAATGTTTGCATGCATTTCTTCAGCAGACATTGATTACCACTGCCACCCCTCTACTGACTCTTCTCAGTGGTGACATCTGTCTTGCTTTCAGTGGCTCCTCTTCAGCCTTCAGGGATTATTTAGCAGAGCTTCCTGAGTCTGCCCCCAAATCCTGCTAATTCCAGCATGGCCCTCTAATCTGTCTAGGCTCTTGTACCCTGCCTAGACTTCCCTAACCAATTCTTCATTTCTTAAGGCCCAAACTACTGCTACTCCTCCCCTGAAGCAGGTGATCTTCCTCCTACTCAGGTCAGTGTAAAGTGCATGTACTCTGTGACTGGGCACACCTGGCTCAGATCCTGAGCCTGCCACTTTTTAGCTGTGATAGTATTTAGTAATTGACACTAAACTCTTCAGTCTTCCTTATAAAATGAGGATTATAATAGCACTTTGAAAAGTTGGAGGCAATCTATGGAATGCACTTGCACATGATGGGTGCTTAGTAAATGGTGGTGGATATGATGATCAAAACAATTAGCTCCTATAAGCCCCCCTCCTCCTAGCTCCTGAGGAAGAAGCCCCCTTCTTCTAGCTGAAGCCAATCCATCTGGCTGGGCTCTGGCTTTTCTCTCTTTACACCTTCCCTTACTCCATCCATCACTTCTTCTTCCCCACATCTTCAGTCTCCTCTGCATAGGTCGCTTTTAACCCCTCCCTCCTCAAACTCCTTCTCTGCACCCTACATTTCCTTTAATCCCTGCCCTCCAATTTTGTGACGAGGGGGTCTCCACATGGTTGTACCTCTCTGTGAGACCAGAGATCTGCTGCCTCTGCATAGCCCTCAAACTCCCCTAGTCAGGTGGCTTCCGGGTGCCAGATCCAGGAGCCGGCCTCCTCCCCCCATCCCTCTGTAGCCCCAGAGGCCAGTGTTGATTCTCTCCTACCATTTTTTCCCCCAGCTTTCTTGAATCTACTCCTAAATTCCATGACACAGCACTCTGTGGTCTTCATCCTACTTCCCAGACAGGTCTTCTCTCTCTTCTTTGCTAATTCCTTTCCTTTCCTTTAAAGCATATCTGTTCTCCCAGCAAATGCTCCTCTCCTCCTTCTCCCAGTGTGCACCCCTCCCCTACTGTCTCCTTTGGGAATCTCATCTATTCCTATTGGTTTAGTGCTTATTTAGCTGTAAAGATTTGTCTCTCCTCCTCCCTCATCAACATGCACATTTAACTCTCTTCTGGATATTGTCATATGGATAATATCAAATCAACCTATTCAAAGATCAACACATCCTTGCCTCTCTCACCCACCCATCTTTTCCCCAGCATGGTTTGTTCCTATCGCCTCAACTGAAAATATTAAAATCAGTAATTTCCTCATCATTCATTCATTCATTCATTCACTTATACTATAAATGTGCTCTGAGCTCCTACTTTCTGCCAGACACCATTCTGGGGCTGGGTGCAGAAAAAGAGAGTCCCAGAATTTGGTCTAACAGCATTCAGTTGACCGGGGAGGTAGGTAGGTGATGGACATCAGACCAGGCAAGGAATTGATGAGAACAATTGGGATGGAGTACAGATGAAGAAATCTGAAGCTTATAGCTTCACAATGCTTGCTACACCCCATCTTCTCCCTCACTGTTGCTGATGCATTGTTTTGGAGCCTAGAAGTTCTGGATTTGTGCGTAATCTCTGTCTCCCTCCATCCCAGCTCTCATCCACCTCCACATGGCTGCCCGATTAATCTTCCTAGAGGGCAGATCTGCTCATGCAAACACACCCTGCGATAGCTCCCCATGGCTTTGTTAAAGCGATCAGAGTCCTTGTACCGACCTTCAAGTCCTGCACAGTCTAGTACCCACCTTCCATGATGCTTATTTCCCATCCCTTACATGTGGCTCTGCTTCAACTAGACCCCAACATATATTCTTTCTGAAAAACCCTAGGCATCTGTGCATCCCATTCCCACAGACTTGGAGCCTCTTAACCTCATCTCTGCCAGTTCAGATCCTGGCTTCACCACTTACTAAATGACCTTGGGCAGGTGACTCAATGTTTTCTAATCTGTAAAATGGAAACAACAATACCTATGCCCAACATTTTGTGAGCACTGAATGAAATAATACCAAGTGCTCAGCCCAGTGCTTGACACAAGTGCATGATCAATACTTATTACCTGTCATCATCAGTGACAGCAGCATTAATTTCCAAAGTTCACTCTCAAACATCACTTTCTCCATGAAATTTCCCCAGTCTCCTTGCCAAGATGTGATAGTGTCTTCCTCTTCAGAAACACAGGGCACTTTCTAGGTCAGTATTGCCTACCTCCAGCTCATGGTCTGTCTCTCCATGTGTCTTTCCCTTCCTGGTCACTCTGAGTGCTTCTCAGAGCAGGGCCTGTCTCTTCTTCATTTCCCTTGTCCCCAGAAGCCACTTGATCTCCTGGCAGAGGTTAGATCCTCATAACATATTTGCTGAATTGAATTTAACGTTGTGTATGAGAGTGTGTGTGGTTCAAAATATGATCCTGCCTATCTAACTCTGAATTTGGACATCGTGAGAGTCTGTGTGAGCGTGAGTGCAGGTGTCGGTGTCAGATATTTTGCTGTGTGCCTGTAGGAGTATTGAGGTCCGGCAGGTTGCTTGCAGTTGTGGGTTTCGGCCGGGCCGCCAGGAGGCGCTCCCCAGCGGTTCTGCGGGAAGCCTTGGTCTATCCCTGCGCGGGAAGGGTGGTGGGGATGCTGGGCTGGGGGAGGGGAGACAGGCCGAGGCGGGGGAGGGGTGCTGCTCAAACACCGACAGGTTTCGGTTCTGTCAGCACTCTGGGAACCCAGGGCGGGTCTTCAGCTTCCCCTCTCCCACGCCCTCCAAGTCTGTCCCAGCCCGGAGGCAACGGAGACACCTGCTCAGGCTGGATCTTCTGAGCCCCTGGAGGTTTTCGGGACTGGGCCCTGCCATCTGAGAAGCCGACTCCAGCACCTGCAGTGGTTGCCCTTGTGGCTGCTTTTCTGTTTTTATGGCTCAAGTCTGGGCTATATTCACCGCAACTCAATTCAACACTCATTTGCTTTTTGCAGGGGACCCTATGCTAATGGTGGTAGTAGAGACAGGGGATGTCACTCTGCAATCCACCCTATCCCCATCCCACGCCCCAGGAAGGGAGAAGCATTGGGGGAGGGGAAAGGGAGGAGAGGAGGGGAAGGGGAGAGGAGAGGACAGGTTCTGGCTGAAAAGCGGAAGTGGTGGGGGCTGCCAATTCCCCAACCAAAAGAGCACAGGAATCCAGGCGCCCCTCACTCGGACCCCCACATAAAACAACACACCCAGCAGCTCTGCTCTGGAGCTCCGGGTTCGCCACTGAGATCTCCCCTGCCCCCAGCACACGTAACTCCAACCCCAAGACTCAGCCAGGTCTCAAACTTTGCAGGGGGAGGGGGCGGAGTGGGCCTGGCAAGAGCGGGAGCAAGAGACAGTTCTGTGTGACCCCAGACAGCGGACGTGCGAGAACAAATAGTCCCCTTAGGCCCCCTAGTCGATGTTCAAGGCTCTCCTCCCCGCCACCTTCGGTCTGCCCGCCCCCCAGTCGCCCTCTGACTCACTCCCGGAGCACAAACTGTACCCCTCGGGGGCGGCTCCTTTCTTCAGGGTGAAGAGGGCCCCTGCGGGCTTGGCCTTAACCACAGCCAGAAGTAGCTTAGATCGCCTTCCCCCACCCCAATCCCCGCGAGCTCGAAGTTGTTCTCTAGGTTCAGACTTGAGTCTCCCGCCGCATTCGGGGCGGTACCGGCTCCCCACGAGCCAGGCGGTTTCAGGCGTTTGTCAAGGGGTCTCTGGCTCCCGGGCTTGCGCCTCCCCACAGTTTGCTACTGCCGCGCTACCTTCCCTCCACCCACTCGCTTCCCCCTCGAGAGGAGCTGTCCTTTCAGTACCACGACGCGCGCGCCCGGGAGGGTCCCCGCAGCTGCCGCGCAGTCGCCCATTCCAACACCCCGGCAGTCTTGGGGCGCTGTCCCCCCGAAAACCATATTCCCCAGCTGCCTGGGCTGCCCTATGGCCTCGAAGAGAAAGCCAGGTCCCTGTTGCCCATAGCCCGGTTCCGCCCTCCCGGCCCTCGGCCGGCACCGACCTGGCGGTCCCCGCAACCGTCTGAGCCACTGCAGGGCTCCGGCCGGACTCAACAAGGCGGTTCCTTCTGCTATTTCAGCTCCCGCCGCCGCCTGGAGTAACTGGGGCCGCGGCTGCTGCCGCGGGCGGCTGCCGAAGGCGCCCTCCAATCACGCCCCTTAGCCAGTTCCTGACGTGCTACCGCTCGCCTTCCAGATGGGAAATTCAAATCTCTCTCTCTCTCTCCCCGTCCCTCACTCCCTCCCTCCCGCCTTCCCTCCCTCTCTCTCCCCTTCCTCTCCTCTTCCCTCTCATTGTCTCCCTCCCCTCTCCTCCTCTCTCCCCCCCTCCCCTCTCCTCCTCTCTCCCCCCCTCCCCTCTCCTCCTCTCTCCCCCCCTCCTCCCTCTCCCCCTCCCTTTTCTACTTCTCTCGGTCTCTGGGTCTCCCTCTCCCATTCCCCCGCCTTTCTTTCTCCTGCTTTCGCTCTCCACTCTCTTCCTCCTGCACCTTTCATTGCTTTCCTCCACCTGACAGATACACACTCCCACCCAAATCCTAGCACAGCTGGGAAGACCACAAGCTTGCCGCTTTGGAGGACAAGTAGGGAAGCAAGCGATGGAGGAAGGATTCCTTAAAGCAAAACTCCAATACCACCTCTTCGGGAAAGCCCTCCTTGTTTTCTCTAAGTGGAATGGTCACACTCCTCCTGGCACCTGCCATTCCTAGACAAACCCCTGTTTCAGTGACCCTTGTTCCATCTGTTTGCTCATCTCCTACCTACAAGCAGCTCCAAGACTGGATGACAGCCAGATCATCTTTGCAGCCAGCCCTTCAGCCATAGCATCCAGCCATGGGAGCGTTCAAGATATGCCAATGGATAGTGTGGGTAAGTCCATCACAAGAGGTCAGGAACCCTCTACTGTGGACCAGAGAGAGGTCTGGTGCAAAATTGCAGTGGATCTTGGGCAAGTTACTCCCCAATTCCATCGAGATCTGATGTCTCGTCGAATAGGAATCCTCCAGCAAAGTTCATTCTAGAGGCCTGTTTCTTTCCCTCTTATGCCCAGAGAAGAAGAGGAACTTCCAAGGGACAGGGCAGCATCTGCTTCACCCAGGCTTTTCTCCTCCCTAACAATCTTTTTTTTTTTTTTTTTCCTAATTCTCTCCTAATGAGCCTCTATTATGCCTGCCATCTTTTGGCTCTCAACTGCTTCCTTTAATTCAATTCAAATTGAAATTGTAGGAAAATGACTTCAGAGAGGAGTGGCCTTGCCCCAGGCCTTTGGAAGATTTGTGGGAGTTTCTGCATCAATTGGGGTATGTCAGAGTAGAAATGACTTCTGCTTCTATAAGGGGAGGGCTTCCTTCCAAGGGGAGGATAGCAAGAGATGCAGAGACAGGATCTGGGAAAGGAAAAAGGTGTAATTTTGTTCCAGTAAAAGGGAACATTCTTTCATACATGATCACAGCAGGATTTTTAAAGATGTGGACCCCCATAACTCAGAGGCTGTTGGTAGACCACACTCCTCACTTAGAATATCACCTCTGAGGCTCATCTCTGTTCTCCCCTTATAGACTTGAGGGGCTTTGTATAAGTAAGGTCTTTCCTTTCTGGTTAAATCCCTGTTTAGTGCTATGTCCGGCCATGAACAAGTTCATTCTTTATTGCTCTTCCTTTCTTAGGGCAGACAGTAAAGGAGGGGGCTAAAGGGAGAGTGTTTGATCAGAGTGGCTTAGACTTGCCACTAATGCCTGAGGGGAATTCTAGGCAGAGGTCTGACATCATGTCATTTCAAGAGTCATAGTCCTCCTCTCTCCTTCTTCCTTCATGTTCTTTAAGAGCATGTTCAGTAAATGGGACCTGGCAGGCAGTACTGTATTTACACTTCGGGTTTTTCCCTAACAGGCCATGAAAGCTGGTATTGCTTTCATGTGGATGTTGACCAAGCTGGGCTAAAAATTCAACTTCAGTTTCAGGTAAATGCTGAGCTCAGTTCTAGGCACCACTGTTTAAGATGGGCTTTGACAAGCTCATATATGTTGAGCTTGAAAAGGGGGTGGTTTGATGGTGGGAAATCAGGTCAAATGAGGGAAGGTTGAAAGATCTGAGGATGTTTCACCTGGAGAAGAAAACATTGAGGGGGCATTAGCCCTTGAAGGGCCAGCAAGTCCTGCTTAATCAATAATTCCAATATTTAGTCAGGTGCTTAACAAAGTAGGTGCCGAGTAAATGCTTGCTGAATGGATGAATAAGCATTGCAAGGAAAGAGCTGCTATTTCCATAGCTGAAGGCAGAGTTAGAGCAATGGGGGGGAAGTGAAGAGAAGCAGGCAGAAGCCAAGAGGAAGATCAGGCAACAATAGGAGCTGTCCAGCTCCATCATGGATTGTAGCATGTGAGGGCATGGGTTGGCCATCCCTGGAAGATGGCAGATGGGTAGAAGGATGGTCCAGGTGACAGCTAAAGTCCCCTTTGAACCCAAGCTTCTTTGAGTCAATAAAAACTGCATGAGCTGGGTGGTGCCTGTGGCTCAAAGGAGTGGGGCACGGGCCCCATATGCTGGAGGTGGCGGGTTCAAACCCAGCTCCGGCCAAAAACTGATGAGCTGACATCAACTTTGTCTAGCTACAGAAAATCTTACTGGTGAACAGAAAGACAACTAGCCAAGTTTTGATGGCTTCATCTTGCTGAAAAATTAGGGGGAAACCGTGACACGTTAGCTATTGTTTTCCATCAAATAAAGATGGTAGAAGGTGGTGCCTGTGGCTCAAAGGAGTAGGGTGCTGGCCCCATATACCAGAGGTGGTGGGTTCAAACCTGGCCCTGCCCCAAAACTGCAAAAAAAAAAAAAAAGAAAGATGGTAGAGGAATAAAGTACTTGCTCCTTATTCAGTGTTGTTAGCCTGGACATGATTCCTAAGTACTTATTATTATTGAAGAAAAGTTGCTAAATGTAAGTATTTCCTAATGATTCCAATACTACAAATCATAGCAAGTATCTGAGCTTTCATTATGTCTCAGGTGCTAACTTTGGTGCTCTGTATAATTTGTATCTTCTCATTTAATTTACACAAACCCCTATTTTCCAGATGGAAGACTTGAGGCCCAGGAAGATAAAAAGAGTCTTTGGCAGAGCCAGGGTTCCAGCCCAGACTTCCCTGACACTGAGCTCTGTGGTACTTCTACCACATGGGGCTGCTTCTGTCCTGACACATCCCACAGCCTATGGAAATGTAACTTTTGCTCTGTGGATATTTTTTTACATTGACATTTATAGTCTTCCCTGTTCTCCAGTTTCTCACCAAAAAAAAAAAAAAAAAAGAAAGAAGGAAAAGAAAACCTGCCAGGAATTCACACTCAGATCAGGGTCCCCATGCCATATGCATCCCCAGCATTTCCTTCATCTCCTGCATCTCTAATCCAGCACAAGTGCAAAGAGGCCCAACCTCAGGTCCATGCACAACCTGCTCTGTAGACAGCGTTGAAGAGTCACCCGGTATAATATAAATGCGGCTCTGCTTCAGGGGTCTTATCCTGGCTGGTGCTGAATTTCCTCTTTTGTTTTTGAGCCCTGGAGGCAAGAGAAGAGGGCCGGATTTGAACAGATTCATGAAACGATAGGTATATGCCTTGAATGTTCACTGGGAAGCCAGTCAAGAGAACTAATGTTAGCACATTGTGTGAGGATCCAGGAACAATGTGTGAGGAATGACAACTGTCACAGATCATAAATGTGCCTATCAGTGAGAATAGCTCGCAGAGGGCGGCTGTCCAAAGGTCAACTCATTTCTTCTCTGCAGTTGCCTCAGTCCAAAGGGCACCCTGGATGCCGTGTGGGAAATGAGGAGGTGTGTGTGTGAGTGCCAGGCACCAGCTCTGAACTGGAGGTTGCTGACTGGTCCTGACTTTGCAGGAATTGTGCTGCTGGGTGCAGGGAAACATTCAAATGCTCCAGCCATTGGCTTCACATCCTGCTATTCTAGCTTGAGCCTGGAGGGGCAGAATTGTTCTTGGTTTGAAAGGTTGGACTTGTGTCAGAAGCAGAAACAACTGTGGGGGGTGATGCTCAGAGCAGAGCTCTAGGCCACATTGCTCATCTGAGAGTGCCTTCTCCCTTGTCACTGACATGGCCAAGGTGCCATGGCTGTGAAGGTGTGATATGGGAATCCTAGCCTGCCACCATCAACATGGAATGATGTGAAGGCAAACCCATTGGTGTGCAATGGTGCATTTGAGTGTGGGGCCATGCGGGTGGGAGTGTGGCAGCAGGGTGACACAGTGCAGTGTGCCATCATTGGTGTGCAGTAGGGCAGAACTGGCTCTGGTGGTGTGTCCCTCCTGATATGGAATGATTCCGTGCCAGTGTGAATTGGCATTTGATGGCATTGAGCTAAGTGGATTGTTAGCACATAATATGTCAACAGCATTGTGCGAGAGTTTAGGTGTGAGGAAAGAGTACCACACACTCATGTAGGTTGTGTGCTATACAACCACAGAGGGGCATCATTTACATAGATAGCCAAAACAAAGGCTCTGAGGACATGTCACCATTTCTGTGTAATCTGCTGACCAGTACTGCTCCATGGCCTGTTAGGAACCAGATCACACAGTGCAAGTGAGCGAAGCATCATCTGTGTTTACAGCCACTGCCCATTGTTCACATTGCTGCCTGAGCTCCTCCTCCTGTCAAATAAGCAATGGCATTAGATTCTCATAGAAGCACAAACCCTACTGTAACCTGCACATGTAAGGGATCTAGGTTGCACACTATCTAATGCCTGATGATCTGAGGTGGAGATGTAATGCATTCGAATAATCCTAAAACCATCTCCTACCCCTCCATCCATGGAAAAATTATCTTCCATGAAACTGGTCCCTGGTGCCAAAAGGTAGGAGACTACTGTAACATTTGTATCTGTGCGGTACTGTTAACCAGGGATGCCTCAGATGGTAGGGTGTTACCATCAGTGTGAAAGAGTGCAGTTCCATGTCATCATCAGTGGTAAGGGTGCAGATCCAAGTGTATCTGTGGACTGGCATTTGTACAGATACACCACTGTGATAGTGTGGGGCAGCAGGGGGTGTGTGTGTGCAACCATAAGTGTCATTACCCCGTGCAGGCATGTAGGCAAACTGTGTCACTATCGGAGTGACTGACTCCCTGATTATCTATTCTTTCCCCTTTAGAGAGGCCAACCTGATGACTCTGTTCCACCCAGAAAACTGCAGAAGCCCTAGCACCCTGCCTCATTGGTAGTGCCTGGAATCTGTGTGGAAACTCCCCAGGGGAGCCCTTTCTATCCTAGAGCCCC